AACTAGGTGCTGACCAGGCTCGACGTTGCTTAACATCGTACGAGAACCGGTTTAGCACTTCAATTTATTATGATTAACAATGTTGACAGATCATGAGAGTGGTCACCTATAATTTGAACGAATTTGTTGCTTTCTGAAATTGAACCTTATAGTTTGCAGAATCAGAAAGCCTTTTTTTTAGGAGTACGCTGATAAATACAATAATATATTATTTATATTTCGGACTAATATCCTCATTTTTGTTATTATCACAACGTTTCAACCGATGTACCCTCAGCTTTCTTCAGGTGTCGATCCGGGTAACCTTCAGGGAGTTTCAAACTGAACCCTTTATTGAATCTTCGGTGGTAGATTGTTCTTATTCTAATATCCATGGTTAGGGATACCTCGTCTTTTTTTTTTTCATACAGTTCAGTTATTTCTAGTTTCTGTTTCCCACTGAATACGAGTTTTTCCTACCCAGCCCAGGGATTGAACTCGCACTTACTATACTATCAAATTCAGGAACCGACGCTTTACTCTCTTAGGGTCAATCCTGAACCAAGAAATTTGAACCTTAAAGCTAATGTCCCTAACGTCTGCCTGCTGCTCCCTTCGTCGTCGATCTTAAAACAAGATGAGATATCCCTAAACATAGACAGCAAATTGGGGAAATCTATACTCATAGATTAAAGAACAGGCTTCATTTCGCTTTTTTTTGAGCTTCACAACTTTACACATCTGCTGGAATTTGTTCCTGTCACAATATGTCGGCCGCGTTCAACGAGTCTATGAAATACGAGTTAATTGACTGAAGTGCAGAATTCCATTATATGATAAACGGCGCAGGTCATTGTTTTATGTAAATGTTAAACGGTCAAGGATTTTCTCATGTCTTGCTGTCTACAACGAACAGTGGCTTGTCAAAATAGATGCATCTTGCATATATTCTAACACACATCTCTCTCTCTCTCACACACATCTCTCTCATACACACACACCTCTCTCACACACATACACCTCTCTCTCTCTCACGCACGCATTTCTCTCTCACATACACTTCTCTCTCTCTATCTCTGTCTCATACTCACACATACACACACAACCATACACACACACCTCTCTCTGTCTTACACACACACATCACACACGTACCTCTCTCTCTCTCTCACAGACTCCCCTACTTCTCACATAGATACCTCTCTCTCACATATCCTTCTCTCTCTCCCTGCCTCACACACGCACATACACAAGGGACGCTCCAAAAGTAATGTTTCCTATTTATTTCCACGAAATCTATTAGGGAGCATCATAATGTCATAAATAATTTCCGCTTTTATTTAACAACCTTGTTTTCCCCCACTCAATTATATTTGTTTATCTTTTGTTATTTGTTTACCTTTTTTATCGTTTCACCCTAATCAAGCCGACATTGCCGCTAGAACGAAGTGGGGTGGGTACAGGGAAGGAATGAGAATGACAAGACTTTAATGAGAAGTGAACAAAAAGGACAATAACGGAAGAGGATTCAAGAAGACAGAAGATAGCGATTGGTTATCAGCGAGAAAGAAATCAGAAGGGAGTTCCACAGGCGAGAAGTGCGAATAAAAAAAACCGTTAGAGTAGAAGTAGCAGTTGTATCTAGCTAGTTCAACAGTAAACGGTGAGACCTAATTGCTAATCTAGTAGCACGCTTAAATACATGTAATCGGGGTACCAGGGGAAAAATCTCATCAGAAGAGTTTCCATGAAAATATTTGCAGAAAAGACAGAGTGAACCCATGTTGTATAGGTGATAAAGTGACTGAATTTGAGATGCCTGGTCAGGGTTGATGTAAATGAAAGAAAAGTGTTAAAACAATGTATTGAGATTAAATAAAGCGGAAATGAAGAGTTCACAACTAAAATAGAGGCCAATAAACCGTTTAATTAATCTGCTTCTTTTATATATTTCAGACGTTCAAATAGTATGTATGATTCATTGATTTCTCCTGCTATTACATATATCGCTTTTTGCTCTCTATATTTTAATGTTAAAATGTTATGTTTACTATAACAGTGAAATGATAATATCTCTCGGAAGAAAAAGATTAGCAACAGAACCACAAAGATGGCGACGAAAAAGTCTGTTTCAAGACGAAGTTGAATCTGTAGAATTTAATAAACAAAGGTATAGATGAAAGAAATTCATACTGCTAGATGAAAACAAGTGAAATTAAGATGAAAAAATCCTAGTCAAAAATTAATAATGGCTGACAATACTTCATCTAATAATAAAAATTTAAGATAATATTATTACTAATACTACTAGATGAAAAGCAAGTGAAATTAAGATGAAAGAAATCCTAGTCAAAAATGAGTAATGCTTGACAATGCTTCATCTAATAATAAAAATTCAAGATAATATTACTACTAATACTACTAGATAAAAAGTAAATGGAAGTAATATGAAGAAGATATTGGTTGACGACGTGTTTAAAAATTAAAGATAATAATACGGCGTTCAATATTTCTTTTTTTTAATTATTATGAATTATTTATAAAGAAAAAATTGTTATGAAATTTTGAAAAATGTCAAAAATACAGATTATCAGCAGATAAGAAAAATGACCTTTTAATCTCATCTCGTTTAATCACGACTTTTAGGATATTCTTTAATGAAAAAATGATTGGCATATATATATATATATATATATATATATATATATATATATATATATATATATATATATATATATATATATATATAACGGGCTGGTGGGGAGATGAGAATCGAGTAAGAATAGACATACTAGGAATCGTCATATAACTAAATACCCTTAGGTAATACAAAACGCATCTTTTGAAAATTTAAATAAAATTTTACCTTGGGGTATTTTTGTATAATTAACGATATCATCTGAAACGCAATGAGTGCCGCCATCTTAGAGATTTTGATCGAAAGTAATGAAACATTCTTCAGAATGTGGCCGGTAACGGCGCTTCATAACTTCGTATACTTTGTAACCCTAAGTAAAATCTATTCCCATACTCTCCTTCCTAGTCCTTATCCTGCCATCCATGTTCGTTATGTAGGTTACTGGATATTTCCAGCACCCATTCCTTGTTTCCAGTATGTCTTGTGAGTTTTAAATTCTGTAAGTTCTCTTATTTCATCATGTGTCTCAGAAATTTGTTGTTTTTGTTCACATATTCCTTAAAATATTTTCGTTGCTAAAATCCTCTGTTCGTAGTATTCTCAACATTCTTCTATGGAACCAAATCTCCTGATATCTCCTCTTCGTCTATGAGGAAATTGTCCAGCATTCACTGCCATATATGAGGATTGATATTACATAGAAGTTTAGCACTCTGTTTTTATTGCTACGAGTCTCATCTTTGTCCGTGAGGAAATTGTCCAGCATTCACTGTCATACAGGACAATTGATATTACATAGAAGTTCAGCACTATTTTTTTGTTTCTTTTGTTGTCAAGTCTCGTCTTTATTTGCGAGGAAATTGTCTAGTATTCACTGCCATATCGAAGCATTGTTACTACATAGAAGTTCAGCACTATTGCCCCGAGTCTCATCTACATCTATGAGGAAATTGTCCAGGATTAACTGCCATATTGGAAAATTGATATTTCATAGAATTTCAGCATTCTTTTATTTGTTTCTGTTGCTTCATGTCTACTCTTCATCTGTGAGGAAATTGTCCAGAATGCATTGCCATATTTTAGAGGATTGATATTAAATAGCAGTTCAGAATTTTTCTCTTATGTTTCTAACGCAATTTTCCCGTTTCTTAATACTTTGCTTAGCTTTTGGAAGTCATCTTTCGCTATGCCAATGCACCTTCGGATTTCGGCGTCATATTTTTCATCGTCTGTTATAACAGTTTCCAGGTAGTTAAATATCTATCCTTGCTTGATCCTGACAATTCCAATTCGTAGCTCCAGTTGCTAATGACCATACCTTCTGTCATTCTTACAATTGATAGTTAGTCCTTTTTTCACGCTTTCCTTTATTAGCTTGTTTAGCAGTTTCTGCAGTTTTATTTTTGTCTCCGCCATCAACACTGTGATATCTCACATTCACAAGCGGTCATCCATCTAGATACTGATCCAGCTAGATGTTGCTTAACTTCGGTGATCGTATGAGAACATGATATGGCCGTAAAATTGAAAGTAGTACAGTATATAACTGCAGTTCCTAATATCAAATAACCAATACCATTTAGTGCCCCCAGAATGTTTACTGTGAACAAATCGCCTGCATGCGGATAGAAAATGAATTGAACAAGAACACAAGAAAAGAAAGAGGCATAAGACAATATTCTTTCATATTCAGTAACCCCTTTCATCTTAGTGGCTTTATTTCTTTGGTGAAATGATTTTTTAAAAAGTGCATACAAAGAGGCATTATACAAAAATACGTCTGCCCATCGAATTTATTTAACCTTAAAAGCAAGGAGATTTCAAGAGAATTACCAGAATTTATAATTTGTGGGCACAGTCTTAACATAAGATATGCAGATGATATTGTATTTCTGGCAAACAAAGAGAAAAAAATCTGTAGGAACTCCTTGTTGTAAAGGAAAAGAAGAAAACTGTGTTCGAATAGAATTAAAATATTTCTCATTACCTCAGCACTTAATGTTATGAAAACACAGAAATGACATTCTTTAGTCAATCTATTTGTCTTACAAATTATACTTCTTATCAACTTTCAAACTACTCTCTATAGCCGCACCAAAAACAGAAAATCAATAAACTTAAACAGTTATAAAGATTATTCTATTTTCTAACAATGTTAATCCAATGAACCTATAGAAAAAAAAAACAGTTTAATTACCATAAGACCAGTAAAAGTCTGACAGAGAGAGACAGAGACAGAGAGAGGTGCAAATGCAGAAGGACATATGTTTCTAGAAACTACACAAAAAGCAGTTAATAAGGTAAAACACAAAATCTATATGAATTGCAAAACTTTTATTTGGGAAAGATATTGGAATATACAGTAGAAGAAAACAGAATGCATTCAGAGGGAAGGCATATGACAAGGTATCTTCTGACAAAAAACAAAAAAAGAGGCATATGACAAGGATGCATCTTCTGACAGACAAAGAAAAAACAGAAAGAGGCATATGACAAGGATGCATCTTCTGGCAGACAAAGAGAAAAAACAGAAAGAGGCATATGACAAGGATGCATCTTCTGGCAGACAAAAAGAAAAACAGAAAGAGGCATATGACAAGGATGCATCTTCTGGCAGACAAAAGAAAAAACAGAAAAAGAGGCATATGACAAGGATGCATCTTCTGGCAGACAAAAAGAAAAAACAGAAAGGGCATATGACAAGGATGCATCTTCTGGCAGACAAAGAAAAAGAAAAAGGCATATGACAAGGATGCATCTTCTGGCAGACAAAAGAAAAAACAGAAAGAGGCATATGACAAGGATGCATCTTCTGGCAGACAAAGAGAAAAAGAAAGAGGCATATGACAAGGATGCATCTTCTGGCAGACAAAGAAAAAAAAGAAAGGAGGCATATGACAAGGATGCAAGGATCTTCTGGCAAAAGAAAAACAAAGAAAAACAAAGAGAAAACAGAAAGAGGCATATGACAAGGATGCATCTTCTGGCAGACAAAGAGAAAAAAACAGAAAAGAGGCATATGACAAGGATGCATCTTATGACAAGGATGCATCTTCAGACAAAGAAAAAAACAGAAAGAGGCATATGACAAGGATGCATCTTCTGGCAAAAGACAAAAGATGAAAAACAGAAGAGAAAACAGAATGATTAGATAAAAGGATGCATCTTCTGAGAGACAAAGAGAAAAACAGAAAGAGGCATATGACAAGGATGCATCTTCTGAGAGACAAAGAAAAAAACAGAAAGAGGCATATGACAAGGATGCATCTTCTGGCAGACAAAAGAAAAAAACAGAAAGAGGCATATGACAAGGATACATCTTCTGGCAGACAAAAGAGAAAACAGAAAGAGGCATATGACAAGGATGCATCTTCTGCAGACAGAAAAAAAACAAAAGACAAGGAAAAACAGAAAGAAAGGAGGCATATGACAAGGATGCATCTTCTGGCAGACAAAAGCATATGAAAAACAGAAAGAGGCATATGACAAGGATGCATCTTCTGGCAGACAAAGAGAAAAACAGAAAAGACATATGACAAGGATGCATCTTCTGGCAGACAAAAGAAAAACAGAAAGAAAGAGGCATATGACAAGGATGCATCTTCTGTCAGACAAAACAGAAAAACAGAAAGAGGCATGGCAGACAAAGAGAAAACAAGGATGCATCTTCTTTTAGACAAAGAAAAAACAGAAAGAGGCATATGACAAGGATGCATCTTCTGGCAGACAAAGAGAAAACAAAAACAGAAAGAGGCATATGACAAGGATGCATCTTCTGGCAGACAAAGAGAAAAAAAGAAAGAGGCATATGACAAGGATGCATCTTCTGGAGACAAAAAGAAAAAAGGGAAAAGGATGCATCTTCTGGCAGATGACAAGGATGACAAGGGATGCATCTTCTGAGAGACAAAAAGCATATGACAAGGAAAACAGAAAGAAAGGCATATGACAAGGATGCATCTTCTGGCAGACAAAGAGAAAAACAGAAAGAGGCATATGACAAGGATGCATCTTCAGCAGACAAAAAAAAAAAAACAGAAAGAGGCATATGACAAGGATGCATCTTCTGGCAGACAAAAAGAGAAAACAGAAAGAGGCATATGACAAGGATGCATCTTCTGGCAGAAAAGAGAAAAAACAGAAAGAGGACAAGGATGCATCTTCTGAGACAAGGAAAAATCTTCTGACAGACAAAAAAGAAAAACAGAAAGAGGCATATGACAAGGATGCATCTTCTGGCAGACAAAGAGAAAAACAGAAAAGGCATATGACAAGGATGCATCTTCTGGCAGACAAAGAAAAAACAGAAAGGGCATATGGCAGACAAGGATGCATCTTCTGGCAGACAAAGAAAAAAACAGAAAGAGGCATATGACAAGGATGCATCTTCAAAAGCAGACAGAAAAGGCATATGAAAAACAAAAAAAGAAAAAGGCATATGACAAGGATGCATCTTCTGGCAGACAAAGAAAAAACAGAAAGAGGCATATGACAAGGATGCATCTTCTGGCAGACAAAAGAAAAACAGAAAGAGGCATATGACAAGGATGCATCTTCTGGCAGACAAAGAAAAAACAGAAAGAGGCATATGACAAGGATGCATCTTCTGGCAGACAAAGAGAAAAAAAACAGAAAGAGGGCATATGACAAGGATGCATCTTCTGGCAGACAAAAGAGAAAAACAAAAGAAAAGGCATATGACAAGGATGCATCTTCTGGCAGACAAAGAAAAAAACAGAAAAGAGGCATATGACAAGGATGCATCTTCTGGCAGACAAAGAAAAAAAACAGAAAGAGGCATATGACAGGATGCATCTTCTGACAGACAAAAGAAAAACAGAAAGAGGCATATGACAAGGATGCATCTTCTGGAGACAAAAAAGAAAAACAGAAAGAGGCATATGACAAGGATACATCTTCTGGCAGACAAAAGAAAAACAGAAAGAGGCATATGACAAGGATGCATCTTCTGGCAGATTCAAAAAAAAACAGAAAAGCAGGCATATGACAAAAGGATGCATCTTCTGGCAAAAAGAAAAACAGAAAAGAGGCATATGACAAGGATGCATCTTCTGGCAGACAAAAGAAAAACAGAAAGAGGCATATGACAAGGATGCATCTTCTGGCAGACAAAGAGAAAAACAGAAAGAGGCATATGACAAGGATGCATCTTCTGGCAGACAAAGAAAAAACAGAAAGAGGCATATGACAAGGATGCATCTTCTGGCAGACAAAGAAAAACAGAAAGAGGCATATGACAAGGATGCATCTTCTGGCAGACAAAAAGAAAAACAGAAAGGGCATATGACAAGGATGCATCTTCTGGCAGACAAAAAAAAAACAGAAAGGGCATATGAAAGGATGCATCTTCTGGCAGAACAAAAAAAAAAAACAGAAAGAGGCATATGACAAGGATGCATCTTCTGGCAGACAAAAAGAAAAACAGAAAGAGGCATATGACAAGGATGCATCTTCTGGCAGAAAAAAGAGAAAAAAACAAAAGAGGCATATGACAAGGATGCATCTTCTGGCAGACAAAGAGAAAAACAGAAAAGAGGCATATGACAAGGATGCATCTTCTGGCAGACAAAGAGAAAAAACAGAAAGAGGCATATGACAAGGATGCATCTTCTGGCAGACAAAATAAAAAACAGAAAGAGGCATATGACAAGGATGCATCTTCTGGCAGAAAAAGAAAAAAAAGAAAGAAAAGGCATATGACAAGGATGCATCTTCTGGCAGACAAAACAAAAAGAAAAACAGAAAGAGGCATATGACAAGGATGCATCTTCTGACAGACAAAGAGAGAAAAACAGAAAAAGAGGCATATGACAAGGATGCATCTTCTGTCAGACAAAGAGAAAAAACAGAAAGAGGCATATGACAAGGATGCATCTTCTGTCAGACAAAGAAAAAAACAGAAAGGGCAGAATGACAAGGATGCATCTTCTGGCAGACAAAGAGAAAAACAGAAAAAAGGCATAAACAAGGATGCATCTTAAACAGACAAAGAAAAACAGAAAAGGCATATGACAAGGATGCATCTTCTGGCAGACAAAGAAAAAACAGAAAGAGGCATATGACAAGGATGCATCTTCTGAGAGACAAAGAGAAAAAAAAAGAAAAGACAAGGCATGGCAGACAAAGAGAAAACAGAAAAGGATGACATCTTCTGACAGACAAAGAGAAAAAACAGAAAGAGGCATATGACAAAAGGATGCATCTTCTGACAGACAAAAGAAAAAAAACAGAAAGAGGCATATGACAAGGATGCATCTTCTGGCAGACAAAGAGAAAAACAGAAAGAGGCATAGACAAGGATGCATCTTCTGGCAGAAAAGAGAAAAACAGAAAGAGGCATATGACAAGGATGCAAGACAAAAGAAAAACAGAAAGAGGCATATGACAAGGATGCATCTTCTGACAGAGAAAAAGAGAAAAAACAGAAAGAGGCATATGACAAGGATGCATCTTCTGGCAGACAAAAGAGAAAACAGAAAGAGGCATATGACAAGGATGCATCTTCTGGCAGACAAAAAAAAAAAAACAGAAAGAGGCATATGACAAGGATGCATCTTCTGGCAGACAAAGAAAAAAAAACATATGAAAGAGGCATATGACAAGGATGCATCTTCTGGCAGACAAAGAGAAAAAAACAGAAAGAGGCATATGACAAGGATGCATCTTCTGACAGACAAAAGACAAGATTTAAAAACAGAAAGAGGCATATGACAAGGATGCATCTTCTGTCAGACAAAGAAAAACAGAAAGAAAGAGGCATATGACAAGGATGCATCTTCTGACAGAGAAACAAAGAAAAAAACAGAAAGAGGCATATGACAAGGATGCATCTTCTGGCAGACAAAAAGAAAAACAGAAAAAGAAAGACATATGACAAGGATGCATCTTCTGGCAGACAAAGAAAAACAGAAAGAGGCATATGACAAGGATGCATCTTCTGGCAGACAAAGAGAAAACAGAAAGAGGCATATGACAAGGATGCATCTTCTGTCAGACAGAAAAGCAAAAAAACAGAAAGAAAAGGCATATGACAAGGATGCATCTTCTGAGACAAAGAAAAACAGAAAAAGAAAAAACAGACAAGAGAAAAGAAAGAGGCATATGACAAGGATGCATCTTCTGAGAGACAAAGAGAAAAACAGAAAGAGGCATATGACAAGGATGCATCTTCTGACAGACAAAGAGAAAAAACAGAAAGAGGGCATATGACAAGGATGCATCTTCTGGCAGACAAAAGAAAAACAGAAAGAGGCATATGACAAGGATGCATCTTCTGGCAGACAAAGAGAAAAACAGAAAGAGGCATATGACAAGGATGCATCTTCTGGCAGACAAAGAAAGAAAAACAGAAAGAGGCATATGACAAGGATGCATCTTCTGACAGACAGAAAGAGAAAAACAGAAAGAGGCATATGACAAGGATGCATCTTCTGGCAGACAAAGAGAAAAAACAGAAAGAGGCATATGACAAGGATGCATCTTCTGGCAGACAAAAGAAAAACAGAAAGAGGCATATGACAAGGATGCATCTTCTGACAGACAAAGAGAAAAAAACAGAAACAAGGAGGCATATGAGAAAGGATGCATCTTCTGACAGACAAAGAGAAAAACAGAAAGAGGCATATGACAAGGATGCATCTTCTGGCAGACAAAGAAAAAAAACAGAAAGAGGCATATGACAAGGATGCATCTTCTGAGAGACAAAAGAGAAAAACAGAAAAAGAGGCATATGACAAGGATGCATCTTCTGTCAGACAAAGAGAAAAACAGAAAGAGGCATATGACAAGGATGCATCTTCTGAGAGACAAAGAGAAAAACAGAAAGAGGCATATGACAAGGATGCATCTTCTGGAGAAAAACAAAGATATGACAAGGATGCATCTTCTGTCAGACAAAGAAAAAACAGAAAGAGGCATATGACAAGGATGCATCTCAGACAAAGAGAAAACAGACAAAAAGGAAAAACAGAAAGAGGCATATGACAAGGATGCATCTTCTGGCAGACAAAGAAAAAACAGAAAGAGGCATATGACAAGGATGCATCTTCTGGCAGACAAAGAGAAAAAAAACAGAAAGAGGCATATAACAAGGATGCATCTTCTGGCAGAAAAAGAGAAAAACAGAAAGAGGCATATGACAAGGATGCATCTTCTGGCAGACAAAGAGAAAAAACAGAAAGAGGCATATGACAAGGATGCATCTTCTGAGACAAAGAGAAAAACAGAAAAAGAGAAAAACAGAAAACAGAAAGGCATATGACAAGGATGCATCTTCTGACAGACAAAGAGAAAAACAGAAAGAGGCATATGACAAGGATGCATCTTCTGGCAGAAAAAGAGAAAACAGAAAGAGGCATATGACAAGGATGCATCTTCTGGCAGACAAAGAGAAAAACAGAAAGAGGCATATGACAAGGATGCATCTTCTGGCAGACAAAGAAAAACAGAAAGAGGCATATGACAAGGATGCATCTTCTGGCAGACAAAGAAAAACAGAAAGAGGCATATGACAAGGATGCATCTTTGGCAGACAAAGAGAAAACAGAAAGAGGCATATGGCATCTTCTGACAAAAAGAAAAACAGAAAGAGGCATATGACAAGGATGCATCTTCTGGCAGACAAAAGAGACAAAAAACAGAAAGGCATATGACAAGGATGCATCTTCTGGCAGACAAAGAGAAAAACAGAAAGAGGCATATGACAAGGATGCATCTTCTGGCAGACAAGAGAGAAAACAGAAAGAGGCATATGACAAGGATGCATCTTCTGGCAAGAGACAAAGAGAAAAAACAGAAAGAGGCATATGACAAGGATGCATCTTCTGACAGACAAAAGAAAAAACAGAAAGAGGCATATGACAAGGATGCATCTTCTGGCAGACAAAGAGAAAAAACAGAAAGAGGCATATGACAAGGATGCATCTTCTGACAAAGAGACAAAGAAAAAAGAGAAAAAGAGGCATATGACAAGGATGCATCTTCTGGCAGACAAAGAGAAAAAACAGAAAGAGGCATATGACAAGGATGCATCTTCTGGCAGACAAAGAGAAAAACAGAAAGAGGCATATGACAAGGATGCATCTTCTGGCAGACAAAGAGAAAAACAGAAAGAGGCATATGACAAGGATGCATCTTCTGAGAGACAAAGAGAAAAAAAAACAGAAAGAGGCATATGACAAAGATGCATCTTCTGAGAGCAAAAGAAAAAAGAAAAAAAATCTGATGAATTCCTGAGATAAAAGAAAAAAAAAAAATCTAGGGGAAAAGATAAAAGTTCTAAAGGAAAAGAAGAGAAGAAAAGACAAATTATCAATTTTAAGAAGAGAGACTGTATGGTTGTCCCCAAGAGAAAGAGCCCAAGACGCAAGCTACAAACTGGAGATGAGAAAAGCAAACAAGTACGGGAGTAATACAAATAGAGAATAACGTACAAACACCTTATATTTCAGAGACTATGCAAAAGCATTTGATAAGGTACGACCCAAAGATCTATTTGAACTGTTAGGAAAACTTGATTTATTTGGGAAAGACATTAGAATAATCCAGAATAAATACTAGCAGCAAACCGCCTGCATACGGATAGAAAATAAACTGCACGCAAAAATGGGCGTAAGACAAGGATGTGTCTTCTCACTGGATTTATTTAACCTTTCCAGCGAAGCACTCCTAAGAGAATGTTCTACCAGGATTTATTATTGGTAGGAACAATCTATGGGTTAATTAGTAAGATTTGTATCGCTAAACCATTATTATCTCAAAAAATATATCTTATAATCTAAAAACATTTTCTGGCTTTAAATAACCGGCAAAAGGTTGATAAACCGTAGAAAACGAATCAATCAACCAAATACTGATTAGTGACACAAGTATGTCTTTTAGATTTATTTACATTTTTTGAATTATAAATGCATAGAAACTAACGTGGGCACAAAGTGAGGGATCTGTTTATATATTGTGTGTAATATAGAATCAACCCCCACTTTATAGTCACATTATAATTTCTTGTTTGTTTATCAAATTCTGATTAGGTATGAATCCACTCCTCCCCACAATTATGGATTAATTAGTAGGATTTGTACTAGCATATCATTATCTCAAAAAAATTATTACAATCTAAAAATATTTTCTGGCTTTAAATGGTGGATGAGTCATAAGATATAAAATAAATGCATCAATAAAACAAGGTAGTGCTTTGAAACCCAACTCAACAATTTAAAGAAGGAGCAAGAATTGCTATTCATTTATTCTTCTTGGCGCGTTTTTGTCTACATCTTCGATATTGAAGTATTTTGATGGCGGACAGTAAGTCTGATTACGGTAGCTGACAAGATACAAATATTGCCGCAGATCGCCTCCAGCCGGATTGTAACACGTGACTCATGAAGAGACAGTATGGAGTCGGTACAAAGAAGAACATGGATTAGAAGAAGCAATAATCCTCTTTTGGCGGACAACAACACTCCGATCGATACGAAACGAGAATTAATCAATAAAAACGAAAGAAACTTTAACATACAATATAGATATTTTATATATGTTTCTGTCATATGGACATGTGAGTGCGTGTAAATAATGGTAGCCTTATTTACAGAAAAATCTATATATCCTTTCATCATAAGTGGTTTATATATATATATATATATATATATATATATATATATATATATATTTCATATGCGCGGTACTTAGTTGAAAGCGTTCAATATCAGTGATAGAGCTAACATAGTAAGTTGTATAGATATGCGTTTAGGGTGACCCCTGGGTTTCACACTTTTTGCAATCAGTTTGTCTGATGATCGCAAATGCGTGAAACCAAGGGTCAAACTCATATCCATATAACTTACTATATATATATATATATATATATATATATATATATATATATAGTTTTTAAAATGTGCTATATTTATGGAATAAAGTGCTCAATATCAGGGATAGAGCGTATGTAAACATAAAAGTGAATATGAAGTCAATACTCAGAGGCGACAGGCCGTTTCATGCTATACGCAATTGTCTGGCCGCGAGTGTTGGCGTTTTCTCGACTATTTATATATACAGGTCAGTGGTGCATTGTGGGTAGTTTATTCTGGCGGTTTATTTTGGCGGGAGTGGTTTGCTTATTCCTTTATTTATTTGGGTTAATTTATTTTACTTATTTTTATTGTTATATATTTATTTATTCTTTTCGGTTTTCGATGTTTTATTAACGTAGTAAAATTTATATATATATATATATATATATATATGCGAATGACAGTATGTCACAGTGTCACACTTATTCAACTTTACTCCTAGAGGCCGTAGCCCAACATATACTGTTTTGGAATCAGTCTGACTTGGTGAGCTAAAGAAAAACATTCCGGGCTGGATCCGGACCCGCAATCCTGAAATTTTGGATCCCCAAGTTTTCATTACTGCGGTTGTTTTCGGATTCCGCCATCTTGGCTTCTATTGATAAAAAACAATGAAAGGGACACAACTCTTTAACTTTCAATAGCTCATGTTCAAATGAAAACTTTACTGCTCTCAAATTGTTTCAAAATTGTTCTCAAAGTGTTTCAAAACAAAAATGTCCGTTTTTTCAACTTTATTCCTAGAGGCCGTAGCCCAACATATCATACCATTTTGGAATCAGGCCGACTCCATGAGCAAATATAAAAACATTCAGGGCCGGATTCGAACCCGAAATCTGGATTTCTAAGTTTTCATTAGTGTGATTGTTTTCGGCGATTTTTTTACGTGTTTTTTGCGAGGAATCTTTTTGTAAGATAAAATTTTTTATAACATGGTAATAAATTTGGAAATAATCGAAATTAATTGCGAAATCCAGCGAAAGTCACTTAAAAAATAAAAATAATTTTTTGTACGGAAAGTATGGTCCTATGTACATCAAATTAAGTGGCGGCAGAAGAATTATCGTTGAACTTTTAAAAGGTAAGCTTAAATATTAACAAACAGTATTTAGAAAAATATTTTAACAGACTGTAAAAAAGTTTTTGCGACGCGTTTCATCCATTAGGATTTCATCGGACTAGGCTTTGTGGATGTTGTCACGTCTGTTTGAAAATTTTTGAAAGAATACTTTTTCTGAAATAATATCTTTTGAATGAATATTTTTTCAAACTAGCCAGATTCATTTGTATTCATTTTCTCTTTTTTTTTTTTTAGATATCAGCGTCTCTCGTTTAGTGCTCATGTTTAGACGTGGCAACATCAACAAAGCCCAGTCCAGTTCGATGAAAGGCTAACGGATGAAACTTTTTTCTAATTTGTCATATATATATATATATATATATATATATATATAAGGCAACAAGGAAACTTTCTTTGCGATCGTATTACATAAATTAAGTAAATAACTAAATAAAAACAAATTATATTTTACCTTCTGTTATAAAGTTCGTAGTTCTGATTAATAATACTGTTATAGAGAGTACCGTAGTCCAGTGTGGCAATGCGTACGACTCAGCGCTACGCCTTACGACCCACTTTGCAATGACCGTACCTATGAACAGACGTTCTACTCATAGCGGATGGACGAATCCATGTTCAATAATTAGTGTAGAGAAGGCCGGTCATCTTTCTACACAACACCTCCTTTTATATATATATATATATATATATATATATATATATATATATATATATAATTTAAGTAATATATATAATATATATATATATATATATATATATATATATATATAAATAATTATATATATATATTATAAATTATATATATTATAATATATTATAAACAGTAATTCGGACTTTGCTGACCAGACGCTTCTCTGTGGCTGAATGATTACGAGCACGTCAAGTCAAATGACAGTTTCCATAAGAGTAACAGGTTCGATTCCTGTCGGAAAGTGCATATTTTCTACGAAATTTCTCGAACATTCAGGCTGGTAAATGTAATGAATGCTGTTTAATTGAGAACAGAGCATTTACTTAAATAAATTATATCTATAAAAATTTAATTATATTATATAATATATTAAATAATTGTCGATTTCATTAAATAATTGTCGATTTCATTTATATATATATATATATATATATATATATATATATATATATATATATATATATATACAGGGTCACTCAAAATTTACAACACATCACAAAAGAATGTTTTTAGGTATTTCTAATACAGTTACACTAATTAAACTTTCACTGCTTGTAGAACATATATTTTGGTATTCAGTCAAACAATAAGATTTTTTAAAAGACTTCAAAAAAGTATCCCACGAAGAAAAACTAATATTTAGTAACTCAAAATGTTCCAAATTAGGATCGGGTTGTTTTTTTAGAACGTTCCAAATTAATTTTATGATTACTTTTAGGAATGAGTAAAAGTATTGCGTCATTCTTTTTCTGTCAACTCTCATTTAAACATTGACAAAAGCAAAATAATTGATCAAAACGTATTGTTGATCTTCATAAAAAATGGACTTAGTTATAAGAAGATATCTAGTCAGTTAAATGTGCCATTGGTACGATAGTTCGTCACTGGAAGACGTGCCATTCAATTCGACCCCCAAAAAGCTCTGGCCCTCCTAGAAAGTTAACGGAACGTACGGCAGGATTATTGTCGAGAAAAGTTGGCAACGCGATCAGAGTTACGCTTAAAGAACTTCAGGGAGGACTAGAAGTAAGTGGAATAAAAGTGATCACAGATACAATTAGTTGTTCACTTCGTCGATATGACATTTTTTGAGGACTTCAAGGAAAAAAAAAACACGTTCTTGCAAGACTGGTTTTTGCAGACGAGCATTTTATCAAACCTGCAGCATTTTGGGAAAATGTACTTTGGTCAGACGAAACGAAAATTGAACTTTTCGCAGAAATGCTGTGGCAAAGGTCTGGCAAAAGAAGGGTACTGATTATTCACCGAAGAATATTTTACTAATCACCACCATTAGTTACGTATATTTGTTTCTAGTTATGAGCCTGTATGCCAAGCTCGTAAACGTGACTTGTCACAAAATTGCTATCACTATTTCTGAAACGCATAACCTACCACATAACTGTGCTCATATCCATTGTTTGATCACCATAAACGTTTATCAAGGGTTGTTAAATGGTAATGGGTGTAATTTTCTTCGCTTCATACGAAGAAAATTACACCCATTGGATAACCTATATATATATATATATATATATATATATATATATATATATATATATATATATAGTTTTGTGTATGTCTTAGTAGTATAAAAGTCTCTCTAAGAACAAAGCATGTTTGTCATTCCTTTTACTTTCAGCGATTCCGTTCCGTCCGGGAAATTACGGATATAATAATGCCCATAATGTGGAAAATATAGCACAAATAAGATAATTGTTGGATTTTAATTAAACTTTCAGGAATTATGAACGAAATTATTTTCAAAATGTTTCTTTTTCAGATAATTGTGGTAAAATAATTTTTACATTTGATAACCCCCTATTTAATTATATGAAATTTCGAGAAATTCTTTTTTGTAGGCTTAATCTTTATGCTATGCAAAGGTAATGTTAATGTTTATATTAATTATAAGGACAAGTGCTGCGAGAATTTAAATGATTATTTTTTTTTGTCAAACAAGACCCCTAGCTACAGAAAATCTGCTCTGAATAGTAAAGTAAAAATTACAATAAAACTAAGGTATTGTTTTATCAGAAATGCTTTTAATTGCTAAAAAATGTATAAAATATATTATGGACATTATTGTCTTAAGAACATTTTTTTGTAATAAATAATGAATTTTTACAAGAATTTCTTTCATTTTTGAAAAAATTAATTTTAATAATTTATAAACTTGTAAATCTTTTAAAATTCTGTATCGGTCAATTAATATTTCGAAGGTTCTAAAAAGGATAAAATTATTAATTTAATAATAAAAAATCCTTTGGTCTTTCCTCTTAATAATATAATTTTGTCGATAAAACTTTGTTTTTATTAAGTTTGGGGCATTTTTTCATCATGGTATGCTCATTTTTTAGCGAATCAGTGGAGTTACCTAAATAAATACAGTTTCCCGATGAAGGCACCAGCATTCTCTCTTGCTATCAATTTTTGTTCAAAGGTTAGTGTTCTTTTTTGACCAAGACCTTTTAAAATGGGACGCAGAATTCGATCTCAACGCCGTGACTCTAAACACATTCGTATATCGATACAGGCAAAAAAGGGATTTAACAAGCTATTACTTAAAAGATATCCACAAACAGTTATTTTTTTCTTTCTATCATTCAAAAATATATTATGCTATTAGTTAAAAGTTTATGATATCTTTGAAAGAAAACTTCAAAGGTTGCCCATTCAGCGTTTATCAGATTTTTTTTGAACTTTGATCATGGACATTTTGTTGGAGACAAAAAAAAATCTCTTACTAACAACTTCGGAATCGATCTGCTGCAAAACAAGAAACACTAATTGAACCCCACGGCATTCTACTTGATCGATCGATTGATTCACAGCAGCGTGTGACGGAGTACAGCTGAGGTTTACCCTATGATACACTCCAGCCATACTCTGTTACCACGGTGATCATAACCTAAAAAACGGCTGCGGTTAGTTCTACGGTATCGCTACATTTGCCCCCACGTTGTATTGAAAGATCCACAGAAAGCGACGGTGAATGAGTTATCCCCAACCCTGTCGTGATGGGATCTAAGGTAGAGATGTAGAAGTTTTTGGTTGATGCCTCGTTTGACTAGTCTGGTTTGATCATATGCAATAATCGCCGATGGTGTCAACGACTTGTAAAATGTGACCAAACCGGAAGTTTTAACAACGCAGACGCAGAAAGCGTTCAGTAAACCCTACCCCGCCAGACGAAAAAAAAAGAAAGAAAGAAAAAAAGAAAGAAAGAAAGAAAAAAGGGGAGCATGAATAAAAAAAAAAAAAGGGAGAACCAACGAGACAGCCCCAGGACTTCGAAAATATTTACAGGGCTGTGAAAATCCAGTCAGCGTCCAAATTTTGTCCGAAATAACGGATAGACAAATTCAAAATTAGAACTTATATTTGTAAATAAAAATCGCTTTGTCTTATCTATGGGATGTGCAAGGTGTTGTAGAGCAAGGTTTTTCAACGTGGGCCATATGTCCCCTTGGGGATCATGAGATATTTTCAAGTGCCACAAGGCCAAGTTTGAATAATGGGGGGCCACGAGGAGGCACAGAAAATTTACCCCCCACAAAATATAGATGAATGAAGACATGCATAAGAAGTACCCACTACTCTGAAAAGATGTGAAATTGCTCTTATTCACTTTTCCCACATCTTACTTGGTTGAGTCTAGTTTTAGTCGCATGATGCATCTGTTGTCAAAGACTCGAAATCGTCTTGACGTAGAAAGAAAAGAGGCGAGAAGTTGGTATGAAGAGACATAAAGAACTCGCATTGGATTGAAGGGGGCCACGACCAGAATAAAGTTGCAAAACATTGGCGTAGCATAGAAATCGGGCGAATAGTGTCGAACCTCTCGAGAATTTTCCGTCTAAGTTAGTTACTTAAATCTTTTAATAATTGTGGTATTCTTTAGATCAAAGTTATAGTTGAATTCATTTCTATGTATAAATAACGCATTTGATAAATTGTTGGTTACGAGGGCTAATTTACTTTTTTGTCTGGCAACAACCATTGGATAACAGAAAAAAAGAGTATAAGTCAAAATGTGCAACCTTTTGATATCATTTTTGTGTATATTGTATTTAAACTGAACATAAATTTTAATAAATGTACAATTTTAAATGAACAAACAAGTTTAGATTTGAAATTTGATCTTCTTGCTGTTAGCGAAGCGACAGGTAGCGAACTAGTGTTTGTGTGGGTATGAGTGATTGTGTGGGGTGTCTCCTCATGGTGTATTGTCTCAGGTCTATGCGTTTCCAATAAATTTGTCTATTGGCTTTTGGTCGATTGATTGTACAGAAATTTCCCGAATAGGAAACTCGAGTGGGCGTTTAAATTTGAAGTAAGCGCGTCGATTTCCGCGCATGCGTACTATTTAGCTTGTTTCGTCTGCTCTTATTTCTGCGCATGCGTTCATATTTGCGAGTAGGTGGTATTCTATCGATTTCTATCGTCTTAAATGATTCGCCTGCCATCATATACGAGTGATTATAATCTTATCAGTTCGATTGAAGAGAAACACGCTCAGGCGAATAAGCCAATAAAATTCTGATGTCATTTTCGATTCGAACAGAATCTTTCTTCTCTCTCGTTGAGGAATATGAAGGCGTTATTAGTCTCTGTGATAGATTAATTCGCGTTTAAGAAGAAAAGCTTGCAGCTCACTGTCACACCAATTACCGGATTTGCTTGTGAATAAATCAATTTTTGAAGACGACATATATGTGGAAGATTTTGGAGGGCATTTTTTGAAAGTTCAAATAAGAAAACATTCACTAATTAAAATTAAAAATACCACATAAAACATCTTGAGTTAATTTAACTTTTTGGTTACACTTCTCACTTACAGTGAACCAGAATTTTTTTTTTGCATTACTCAGCTCAGTAATAGTTGAAACCTGTGCGAGATGAGAACGTTTAGGATAATTTTCTTCTTATTTCGAATATGAAAATATTCAGTAGTTAAAATAAAAATTCTGCTTAAATACCTTGAGTTAATTTGTCGCGGTCTAATGAACAGCAGTTAACAACTAAAATGAATATCAGTGAGAAAATGAATGAAAGAAAGAAAGAAGTTTTTAATGTTTCCTGCCAAAACCTAATAAATAATAGACTATTCCGTTTGGATCCCGAGCAAAGAAGGATAAAACATATCAGAGACATTACTTGGTTTCAGTGAGGAAAAGAAAGAAAGAAAGAAAGATGGGAAGATATAAGTGTTTAACGTTTCCTGCCAATCTTCTTATATATAAAGTACAGCGTGTGTTTGCGCGTGTGTGTGTCGAAACAACTCCTCAGCTCCCACTGGTCCGATTTCAATGATTCATTCAATAGCCCTAGAAAAGTTAGGCGCAGTGAACGATTTTCGTTGAGTTCAGATTCAGGGTTGCCAGATTATGCGAGGTTAAAGATATATATTAATATATTCTACTAGCCATTATCGTTGCTTTAATGGTTCAAGGAAGTAACTCTTATTTCCCTTTTGTATAAAAAAATTCAGTTCACGTTATATTATAAACTAGCTTAAAAGACGCTCTATCGGGTGGCATTTAAGCTAGCTCATGTGACTCTTGGTTTGGCCATCATCACAATAGGTAGGGAGGAGTAGATGCGATAGGCATCAATAAATTACAGAAAAACTCAAAATTGATCGCTGCATTTAAGTATTGAATTAATGTTTAAGCTTACTTTTTAAAAGTTCAACGATAATTCTTCTGTTGTCACTTAATTTAAAAACGATTTGATGTACGCAGATCCTTACTTTCCGTACACACATTTTTTTCATTTCATGGGTGACAGAACAGGGATCAATTTATAGAGATAAAATTAATATAGTGTAAAAGTGAGAAAATAGAAATTAGAATTATTTATACATTCAACATTTGAATAGTTAGAGAAACATAATAGCTAATATTTCAATGAATATGCAGCGATTTAGTAAATATATGTTACATGTAGTACAAGTTAGAAAGTATAGAACACTCAGTCAGGATTGAACTCACTACTCTCGCTGAACGTGTAATGAACTAGCGTAAGACTAGTTAAATATATAAAAAAATGCATGCAAATGAGGTCATTCTGTGTGTGTGTGTGTATATATATATATATATATATATATATATATATATATATATATATATATATATATATGTATGAAGACAGAGAATACAGAAGAAAACTTACACCAGTGTTAAATGTTAATAAAGGAAAAAAAAAAAAATATATATATAAGCAGTAAATTGTTGATACCCCTTCAAGAGTGAACGGACAGGTCCGCCTACGAAACCCTTGAGTCGGGATGCTTAAGATAACATCAATCAGTTAAGTGACAAACTTTTAGTCCCATTAATCCTATATATATTTGAGTATAGCAACAAAGTTCTAAAATGTTTATAACACCGAGGTTTTAAAATATCTAAATTGCAATTGTTAAAAACTACAATAGAAACAATATTTTAAAACACGTAATTACAATTTTTAATCAGAATTTTCATAAATTAAGTTACCTTCCTTACGTAGCGGCAAAGTTTTCGAATTTTACAGCGTTCGTGCTCTCACGTATAATTTTTAACCCACATTAATTGTTTGTCTTAGCAATTCACCCCTGAAGATGATCTTGGATGAGACTGAAAGTACTTGGAAAATAAAAACTATATGGATAATTACGGATGTCTTGGTTAGTTTTGTACTAAGAAATGAATCCATGAATTTGAGAGGATTAAAATAAAAATAAATAAACATAATATATCTAGATTATTTAACCAAACATACTTGAATGAAGACATGCTGCCTCTCTCTCTCTCTCTCTATATATATATATATATATATAATCCCGCTACCAAAAGCCAGACGCTGTGTGTTGCTCACCACACGTTCTAGGATATTCTAAGTGTTTTTGTTTGAGATCTGTGCAGAACAGATATATATATATATATATTATTATGCAGTGAAGCCAATAGCGATGAAGAGTGAAGGCATTACTACAATGCCCTTACGAAACTTCGAAGTCGGCATGACTGAAATAACATTACTCAGTTAAGTGATAAGTTTGTCCACATTATATATATATATATATATATATATATATATATATATATATATAATCCCCCTACCAAAAAAAAAAAAAACAAGATTGATAAGATGAAATATACCCACAATGCAAATTGAACAACTCGATCTTTTGCATAGAATTATTTTGACAGTGGAAGAGACAAGTGTCGTCCGAAGAACTAAGCAGGCCAGAACTGATGTGAATTATCTCCCCTACCATAGAGTAGAATGCACCTGCATCTTGAATAAAGGCTTTCGTGCGAAATCACAGGACGGTTACCAACTAGAAGATACACTTTGCTGAAGGCCGGAGAGTATGACGGTCAAAGCGTTGTTACTATCACAACAAAAATGAGGACACTAGTCTGAGCAAATCAGCGTATAAGAATGATAACGTACAGCATTTCAAATAAATCTACCGCTAGAAAAGAGTGCTCTTGTTTTCCTCTAGCGCAGCATTTATCAAAACAATAAGCAATATCCTTTTTAAGAATCACCATCGTGTTCTCTTTAATCTCGCCCGAGGCACTTCACCTATGATTTTAGATGTAGAAAAGTCAGAAGTTTAATATCAGGAGGGTTTAATTTCAACTTCATGCTAAAAAGATGGTTCAGATTGCATTGTGAGAGCTGTCCAAATTGCGTGTATTTTTTATCGTAAATAAGCAACAATGAAATTAATGGGTGCCAATTTTAAACGATGCATGTGTTTAATCTTCCCAAGCAAGGCGATGATGCCACTAAGACGAAAGGGGCTACTGGGAGGAAAAGAGAATGAAAAGACTTTAGAAGAAAACCCAACCCTAAACAAGAAACAAGGGATAAACCGCTGCTCGTATCGAAAAAGATCGTGGAAGAGTGTGAACCGGATGATAGGCGCACCTATCTACTCCTGCTTTAAGAAAAGCACCATTCAAATACAACAGTTATCTCCCTTTAATTTTCTATTTTCTGATTTTTTTTTCCCCATTCAACGAAGTGAAGATTCGATTTTAACGGTTTTGATTAATCTGGATGTGCGGTTGGTGCAATTGATAGCAGCTTGATATGAGAAATCGGAGAGACGAGTTCGAATGTCAGTCAGATTCGTTACATTTATTTATGCGCAAATACTCTTGGGAAAAGTATGAAGCCATCTCCTCTCCCCCAGCTATGGGTTAAATAGTAGGACTTGTATTTGATGAAATCATTGTTATTTAAAAAAATTGATAATTCTATATCAACGCGCAAAAAAGGAATTGCTCTTACAATCTAAAACGAGTTTCACCATTAAATAACCTAGAAAGGGTTGATAAACCGTAAAACGCAAATCAATACATCTAAATAGCAGTTGACCTTTTACCATACCTCTTTGTTTTGTCATCGATTAACTAGGTTACTCGCTGGGCTCCTTTGCTTATTATATGTCCCAGAAATCTCAGCTATCTCGTTCTGATTGTAAGTATAAGGTTCTCTTTAATTCCTACTTTTTTTAAAACTTCCTCGTTGCTTACATGTTCTCTCTAGGGGGAAACTGTTTTTAAAAAAACAAAAACCAAAAAAAAAAAAAACAAAACAAAAAAACAGCATTTGATACATTAGTATCTATCCGGACTCGAACGCCGATCTCTGTCGAGGGTAGGGATATATATAATCAACTATGCCGGGGTGTATGCCTCACCTACTCTTCTAAATAAGTTTTAACCTCCACCTGGCCACTAACGACTTTTTTTTTCGTTG